AATGCAGGTGGGTTTGCTTAATGTTGATGGATACTACAACTCTTTGCTCTCTTTCATTGATAAAGCTGTTGAGGAAGGATTCATCAGTCCAAATGCACGCCAGATTATAATCTCTGCGCCTACTGCTAAGGAGCTTGTAAGGAAGCTTGAGGTAACCTGCCAATCAGCAATATGATGGAACCAAAAAGAAAGAAAACTGGTTTCTGATGTCTTCAAACTGTGTATGTTTGCAGGAATATTCGCCTTGCCATGAAAGTGTTGCATCTAAGCTTTGCTGGGAGATTGAGCGGATTGGCTACTCTTCTGAAGACTGATATTAATCAGGATCTTTATAAACTTATAACTATAGTTCTTTAGTGTCTCAGGAGATTTCAAGATTTGTCCTACTTAAGGAAGGAAACATATTATCAAGATCTTAGAAACTTTAAATTAGGAGCGTAAACTGAAAATTTCCACTGAGTGAGGAAATTATTTTGTGTAAATTTACTAGTTTCTTTAACTATGAAATGTTTATGTTTCTATTAGGCCTGTTCAATCTGGTGTTCGGTTCGGTTTTTTCGGTTTTCGGTTATTCGGTTTATAAAAATTAGCTACCATATTGGAACCATATTTAATTTGGTTTGGTTCGGTATTTATACTACCGGTTTTCGGTTTATTCGGTTTTATACCAAATAACATTATTATTTGATTTGGTTTCATATTATATGAATTTAAAAAATATATATATTGTCAAAACTATCGTTTATTAAAATAATCCTAGATGTTCATAAATAGAAAAATGTGAAATTACCAACAAACAAAACGACCAACGATTCATTTTTGTACAACTTTTCTTATTTTCTCTTTGTTCTTCCAAATAAATTACATGGTACAATCTAATTTCACAATTTCTTACAACATGCAAGGTCTATATTCTCTATTATTAGGATCGGCCCGCCTATGGACGGATATATTTTATTTGTGATCTAATTACTATTTTTTGTAGTATATTTTTTTTCAACTTTGCTTTCATGAAATATTGTTGCTTTTTAAAACATAATATTTTAATTATGTATTAATCAATCGTTGATATTTTCTATTATTTTCATGTTAAATTTTACAAGTTGAGTTTAGTAACTATAAGAAAAATATTTGTGAGATTTCTTTCTTTTTATGTTTGTTGGTCTAGGTTTGAGGATCTTGAAATAGTGATATCGTAAATGAATTTGTTTTCTTGTTTTTTCTTAAAATTTTTTACTATATATTAAAGTCTATAGTTTTTGCGGAAGCACCGCAGCCTAATGGTTAAGGTTTAAAGGTTTTTACACTAGGTCTGGGGTTCGAATCCCAGGCTACGCAGTTTCTACACCAGGAGGATTTTAATTCCCGGAGAAGGTAAATGGCGAATTATGCAAATTGGAGAAAAAAGCTTACTAGAGATATTCAACATGGCGCAAAGCGTACCATCAGGAATGGATCTCACAGGACGGCTCAGGGTGATGCAGTCAGACGTGAATCCGCATAAGGCAGGTAGAATTGTCGGCTGTAATATCGTCTATGTAATTTCTCATAGTTTGTAATGCATAATTATCCAGTGTTAAAAAAAAGTCTATATTTTTTAGGATGAGATTATGTATTTTCACTAAAATGTTTTTGTTGACTAATTTTTTATCAAACTCAAGTTATATTAGTTTATTATTTTAATTGTTGTATCTTATTATTATTTTTTTCAAATTAATTTTAAACCTATTTGCTTGATTATTTAGTAATCATTCTTTGTTGTTTGCATCCTTTTTATTTTTGTCTTTGTTATTTTTTCTAAGTTTGATCTTATTAACCTAAAAATGGAAAGAGAATTTAGTGAGAATCAATGAGTTTAATCTTTAAAAAGAATTTGTTCCTAGTTTATTTTTATCAAGAATAGTTCAATGTTTCTTGAATTTTAAATACTGTTATAGTCTTAAGGACAGAAATCATTGTTTTGTTTTGTCCACATCCATTGGAAGTAATTTTGAAAAATGCTTTGTCTAAGTTGTAGTGGGTGCATTTTTGATTTAGTATACGAATTCGGTGGTTTGTAAGTTGATGTAGACTGATTCCGTGCAGCTAACATATATATCAATTGATGTACCAAGTGTTATTAACTGAAACGATTTTTTTCAAAATAGTACTGTAACTGATAGTTTTCTAATGACTTGAGTAGAAGAATATGCAGAGAATAAGATAATCGTAGTCTGGAAGGAATACTATATACAAAAATATATTGAACAAATCCTTGTGTACACTCATATCCTAGTGTACACTCATATATTGAACAAATCCTTGTGTACACTCATATGCTTGTGTACAGCAAATAGGGTCTAATGACAACGGTAGTTTATTGATGTTTCCAGTTTCAGAGAAGCCTACAGATCAACTCCAGCTTCTGTATAATCGGGAGAGAGAGACTCGACTCCATAGTCATATCATCACCACTAATACTTGATTATATCATATAGTTTCTTACCCTAGTGTATGTATCAAAAGGTTCTTGTGAGTTGTGTGATAAGAGTTATATTATATGTGTATCGTGCAATAACGTTGATTAAGGAAAGAAAAAGTAGATTTAAAAGCATGTTTCTTAGGAAGGAAGATAAATAAACAAATAAAAGTCAAATTGTTCAACCACCTTACATGAAAAGTATGAAAAATTTTATGTGCATAAGATAGATTTTTGTTCGAATCGGACATGTAGCCGAAACTAATTCTTGTTTATACGAATTTAAAAAAAAAAATCTATGATGAAACGTGACATTAATTAAATAAGTGATATCGAATAAAATAAATCTTTGAGTCCAATATTACTGGTAAAAAAACATAGGAAGTAACAATTAAGACCCATCTTTGGAAATTTCCTAAGATAAATAACCATTATATAATCGAGAGATAGTGAGACTCGACTCCATAATCATATCATCTCCACCACTAATACTTGATCATATCATAGCTGCATATCTCTGTTTTGTATTTATCCGTGTCCTCTCCATCTCAGTAGCAATACAACTGCAGCTGATACACATCTATTTTTCCCTTCAAAAAATCATGTATGTTATGTTTAACGTGCTAAAGGATGATGCAATCAACATCTCCATTATTGAGACAGTCTTGCTTTGAAGAGGAAGAGGACATAGATGACATAGACATAGAGATATTTACATGAGACTTCTTCATCTACGATAGAGTAAGAATCAAGATTTGGAGTTTGTTTTGTTTTGACTGCTCCTAAACCACAAATATAAGAACTATGAATACAGTGCATTAAGCAAAAAAAAAAATCTGCTGCAAAAGTATTTTCAGAAAAAATAAATGGAATTGCAAGTGCCTCACTCTAAATGAAAGAGACATATCTACCTTCTGTTTTTAATGTTGTATGGAGTTGAAGTTCTACTTTGCCTTCCGAGTAGCTTTACTTTTCCTGGTGTGCTTCTCTAAGGGAGCAATTATATGACTTGCTGTTTCCAATTGATTTGCACAGATCCTGAGCTTTATGCAACAAAAAAACTATCTTGATTAGTTGTTGTAGCAGAATAAGCCGCAGCTATTGATAGGGGTGATAGAGATGTCTCGTGTTTTATGAGGATTGAAATCCTGAAACTTATCAAGTATTCATTATGATCACTCTTGAGCACTATCAAGCATTCACAGCATAAGATGACCATGGAGTTGATTTCGGACATGCATCATTATAGAGTTTTAACATAACAATGAATATTATTTGATCTGAATCTGTAAATTAGAAGACATTAGTTACTTCACTACCAAAGGAAGTAAGAAGGTTGGCTCTTTCAGCATCAAAAACATCAAGAGAGGATGATACAGTGGACTATAACAGAGCGTAGGTCCTTGTTGGCATATATATATGCCTCCTCGGTTTATGATTTTGAAGAGCTACATGACTTGAAACAGATCAGAGACTGTCTTCAAGTTCAGATGAGTTCTGCCATTCTGCTCAAAGAAAGTTTTTTTTGGGTTGTAAGCAATCTGTCTACCTTGTTTCTCAATGATTTCATAAACCAAAGATATGAAAAATGATATAACCGGTTTAAAGCTTCCGGTTATTAAATAAGAACTGGTATGACACGCTTAACATACTTCGTCTTCTCCGTCCCCTTAATTCTAAAATATCTCAGATCTCAATGGCGGTTTTGTCTTCTTTGTTGCTACCGACGCCTTTTCTCCAATTTCAATTCCGCCATATTATTCATCTTCTTGGTTCTACTACACCCATCTCTTCCATCAGCTGCGTCGTTTTCCGCTCTCACCGTGGAGTAATGACGATCTGGTCCAAGTTAATTAGAATCACTAAATGAATGCCTTAAAAGATCAGATTACAGCAAAAAGAAGATTTTATAGGATACATAGCGGAAAACCTGTTGAGGAAAGCCGAGAGCAATAGCCAATCTTTCATTCTTCCGTACTCCTAGTAATCCGTTTTTACTCTGCGAGAGTTTATCAGCTAAATATGATTTTACTGATGCAAACTAACCTATATATAGCTGCAGATTCACCGACTGAAAGGTAGGGGATGTATTCACTGTGAAATTGTGGAAGGAATAAGGACTGGAAGGAATAATTGGATGAAGTGGACTTACTTAACGGTGCGAGTTCCCGGAAGAAGATGAGAAGAGTTGCATGCGAACCGACGCCAAAGATGGATACCACCAAAGAAGGAGCTCTATTGTCAGGTATGGAGTAACGGCGGCAATCCTAACTTTCCCATCAAAGTGCAGATGATGAAAACAGCCTACTGGGCTCAGACAAATTCAGCAGCCCATCAGACAAATGTCTCTAAACCCAAACTTATTACCCACCATCAAAACAACAAAAAATTATGGCATGCCACATGTCATTATGTAAATAACTTATTTAATGACATAGAAATATAAGAAGAGAGAAAACTCTTCTTTATTATAAATATAAAGATGCTCTATGCCCTTATACATTAATTTATACTTATAAAATCAAAATTGTCTGGTTAGAGATTAGATCGAGTCTTCTTCATCTGTTTCTTTACTATCATTCATAGCACAACTCTGAAAACCTGGATGAGTAGTCTCTAGACTCTTAAGCTTCTGCACTGCATCTTGTACATCAAAGTAAAGAGCATCTTTAACTTCTCTTACCGAATCCTTTTTCTGATTATCAATATGTCTTATGTTCTCTTTTCTCACCAGTCGTTTAGATTTTACTTTTCTTTTGGCTTCCCTCATATGCAGATGATCAATGTACTTCTCATGTAATGCCTTGTTCTTTACCAAGTCCAAGACCTTGTTCCATATGAATTTCCTTCTCAAGTAAATGTCTGATCGCTTTCTTTGAGAGATTGTTTCTTCTTGTCTGTCGTTTCTTAACCTCTGTTGAGTTAGGTTTCAGAAGTAGTTTGCTTGCAGAGGGCGAAAAATGCAGAAATGGTGATAAGTTTGTCTTCTTCCTGGCTCTTGATCGAGGCTGAGGTTGAAGAGGAGTGATGAGATCAGAGTTCACTCTATCAAAACATTCTTGAGCAGATTTGTCAGGCACCATCTTAGACACCTTTTTCCAGAAACATTCTTTCACTGTCAAATAAGCTCCATTTGAAGCTAAGTCCATCTCCTCTGTCCATCCTCTCCCATTCTTTATCTTCAGTCCATCTTCTCGCTTCCCTTCATCAGCTTTTGCACGTTATTAAATGTCCTACATTGGACAATCTAAGTGTCTTTGGGAAATATTATGTGTATGGGCAATCTTCCACTCTTGAGCTATTTTTTGGGTGTGAGTTAAACTCATCACTAAAATGGTATCAAAGTCCATAGTTTGGCCCAACATATGATTTCCCACATAAACAATTTTTTTTACCTATGTAGCCTATAAAAGTGGCCCATATGCTGGTGATATTTCTGAGATGTTGGGTTTGGGTTGTTTCCCTATGGACTGTTTCCCACCCACATTTCGAGAAAGGCTATTAAATTCCCACATCGGACAATTCAAGTGTCCTTGGGAAATATATGTGTATGGACAGTCCTCCACTCTTGAACTAGCTTTTAGGTGTGAGTTAGGCCCATCACTAACACATGTCTAATCTTTTTCCACTCACTAAGACATACACTAACTTCTTCATCATCATTACAATCTCTAAAAACCTGCTTAGTCTTTGGACGAAGACGAATTCTACTTTTATCCCTAGATCTCACACTATCTCTTAATCTCGTACTACATCTACTCAAAACATTGTTACTAGACTGTGTGATTGTGGTCGAGTGGTAAGGAGTTGGGACCGGGACACCAACAAATTTCAGCTTTGACCCACCTGATGTGCGAAACTAAGTCACAATTATTCCTGGTCACCTAACACGGATGTGGACCCATACTTTAGGGTCCATTTGAATGCCTGGAGAAAAAAAAATGTTACCTGATTCTCTCCCATTATAAGAAGATTGAAGAGACCGTCTCATAGTGAAATCGCACGAAACATTGGTGGGTTTCACCTGGGAAGGCTTCTCTTCGCATGCCTTATTTGAAATCCTATGAGACCGCCTCGACCAAGATAGGAATTTTCTTGGTGGTTCCGAGTCAAAGCTCAGATCTTTCTTCGGTTTCCCTTCACCATCTCGGTTTCACAGAGAGGTTAGCCTTGACGAGCGACGAAGCGCAGAGGTAGCTGGTTCAGGCAAGACGACATGCGGTTTCTTTCTCGACATTTTGAACTAAAGTACGGAACTGGAACACAAGTAACTTGTTCAAATCTCTTCAATGCAAACCAAAACTATTGAACCGAAAGCTTTCGGCTTCCGATGTAACGTTTGGTTAGAACTATGAACCCATCAATGAATTTAAAAATTAAATCGGTTTTTAGGAATTGATCAAGCTTCCACGTAGTAACCACATAAACAGAATGAAAGGAACTAACCCGAGATAAACCGGATTTACACACGGAATTTGTATTTTTCATCAAACTAACCACATTAACCGATATACATGTCACACACTTCTTGTGTATTGATTGTCCATTATGTCCTCATAGTATGTGGTTCCTTAAGTAACTTCCTTTTCTAACTAAGTTGTTGGTTTTTTTATTTCGTTTTTAATTGTTTTATATTCTAAATTTAAAAAACATAAAACCAAAACACTTTCTCAATTATGTCTATCTAATCTCTAATCATAACCCCGCTTAAATCCCATTCTTGAATTTTGATTCTTCTAAATTTCACAACTAAGAATTACAACAGTTCCTCTTTGCATCATGGTCCCCGTAATATCTTGTTGATCTATCGTACATCAGACCGTTTCTAAGTTTAGATCTAGATCTAGAATTTTCTACAATTTTGAATTATTCTGCCTTGAAGGTTTTGTTATTTTCTATCTCCCCTTTGCTTTTGTTTCGATTGATTGAAGAGTTGGGCTCTTCTCCTTAGTCTTGGTGGTTGCTTTAGATTTTGATGAGTCTTCTTTGTCTGGCTTCTTTATCTCTTTGAGATTTATCCTTCAGTTTCCCAGAAAATTTTTGGTTAATTTTTAGCCTCATTTCTTCATAGTTCGTTGGTACTTTTCAAAGTTTTTGTTCATTAATTTCATTGTGTATGAATGATTTCTATGTCTATAATTTCCATGTCCGACAAAAAAAGAAAATTTCGATGTCCATGTCGTCACTATCCACAACATCATTGTCCACGTCTCTTTTGTCCATAAACACATTATGTTTTTTATATTTAATGTTCTTAGCTTGATCTTTTGTAATCTTTTTAAATTTTCATTTGAAACTTTATTAACGACTCTCGTATGCTTAGGTATATGTTAGTCACTACATCTTGCAATATACCTTGTATAGATTTGATATAAGAACATAAAAATGTCGTTTTTGTGGATTGTTATTATTTCACGAATTTTTCAATTTTCTCCCAAAATATTATATTCACAATTATACATCATGTATAAACTCTCTTATCCATACTTTCTTATCCACACTTCCCCAAACCATAAACCCCCAATCCACATATCCTATGTCCACACATCCCTTGTCCACCCTTGACTTCTCCACGCTTTTGCTATTCACATCTTTGATATCCCCATTTCTTGAAAAAGTACTATTATTGTTCATCTTCACCACCTACACAGACGGACAATATAAAACAACTCCAATATCACTGTTAGAATCAAAATCAAGAGAACCAAAAATGAAACTCAAAAAAACATTTGAAACACTCATACCCACTTTCGTTAAGAAAACAAAATAAGAAAAGTATTATTATCTTTTAAAAAATATAAATTTTAATGAGTCACAATCAATGATTTAATTTTTTGTATTTTTATTTTCTCAGCCATTATATATTGTTTATTAGTATCTCATCCAGACAGGGCTGGGACTATTATCCGAGATCTGAGATCTGAGATCCGATCCGAGATCCACTCCAAAATAGAATATCTAGGGTCCGGATCCGGATAGTAAAATCTCGGATCCATCTAAACCGAATCTGGATATCATAATTTTCAGGTCCGTATATCCGGATCAGTGTTTCTGAAATATATTATTTTTTAATTTTAATTTTAATTATATTTTATATATTAATAATTATACAAGAAATTGGTCTTATAATATTATATTTTAATTTAATAATAGTATATGTCATAATATTTATAAATTTTCTATAAATATTAAATTTATGTATTGTTTTTAGAATTTTTGTATTTAAAAAATATTTTTTATTATTTTAACGGATCCAGATCAGAATCCGGATATCCGTGGATATCACAATTTCTAGACAGATATCAGAATCTTAGATACGCGGAAAATACGGATCCAAATCTGGATACTAAAATCACGGATCCGACGAATCCAGATACTCCAAATTTCCCAGATATCTAGATCCGTCCCACCCTTACATCCATAGACTTAAAATAGACACATTAATGGATAAATCTACGTCCTATTTTCTTAAACAAATAAGTAACTATCTAGTTTTTTGTCTTTCTTTTTTAATGAAACACACATGCTTATTTTTTCAATAAAAGGCAAAAGAATGGTCATTTTCGCCTTTAACAATGACATATGTACATGTAAAGTGTGTCAAATATAAAGTGTGTCAAATACAGAATGTGTCTTTTCAGATAAACAAAAGATAGAATGTAACTTACTCATAAACTAGTGACAAAAAGGGAAAATTCCTTAAAAATACACGAACTGAGTTATATTTGCTAAAAAAATACACGAACTTTTTAGACTTCCCAATTAATACACCAACTAAATTTAGTTACCCATAAAACACATGAAGTTTTGAATTTGGGAGGGTTTACACCTTAATTTTCACGGCGTTAAGTCTGTTTAACAGAGAAATAAGACGTCGTTAATAGCTTTATTGAGCACGCAATTTTCCGTCAAAAGCTCGGGTTAAGTCATAAAATCTCCAAATCGATTTATCAGAAACCCTAATTCCCTTTAATCCCCAAATCGATTTAGGAGAAACCCTAATTTCTTCTCCTCTTTTCATCATGAAACTCTGTTCTCCTATTTCATGTCGCTTTGAAATCGCTTCGTTTTCTATGTTCTGAGAGAGACAAAGAAGATGAGGTAACTTCGAATCGAGAATTCTTCATTTGAGTCTCAGGATCCTTTAGTTTTGAAAGCTAATTCATATTCTTTGATTTGATTGTAGTGAATCGGGGGTCATAAAGATCAGTTTACACTATGGAGGCGTCATGGAGCGGAAAGACAACAATTTCTTCTACGTGGGAGGATTCGTGAATAAGGATACTGTAATTGACCCGGATTACATGACATGGTCAACGTTTTAAGGGTTCTGTGAAGATAATGGGTCACCTGGGGTGGTGAAACAGGTCTGGGACAAGCTTCCAAAAGAAAATATAGACTCGGTGAAAGTGATATCAGAGCTGTCTTCATATTTTTCTATCTATCAGATGTGTAGTGAAGCTATGAAAGTTGGTGAGGTTGATCTTTACATTGAGCAGGCTGTGGTTGATAGGGTTGAAGATGAAGTACAGAAGGATGGTGAAGAAGACATAGTTGACGAAAACAGAGGTGAAGAACAGACTTGACGAAAACAGAGGTAAAGAAGAACATGGTGAAGAAAACAGAGTTGTAGAAGAGCATGGTGAATACATCGGTGAAGAAGCTTAGAACAACGAAGAAGCTGAAGCTCAAAACAATGAAGTCGAAGAAGAAATCATCCAAGATGGAGGAGATGAAATTTCATTTCAGTCACTCTTTGGAGATATTGGTGAAGAGGATATTAGAGGTGTTGATGGTGCTACTGAAGAAGTTAGAGAGGACACTAATGCTGATGAGGAAGAAGAATTTGAGAGACAAGTAGAGGATGCTGAACATCCGACTCATGTTGTTGACACGGATGATGAATGGAAAGGCTTCAATTCACATGAAAGAGTCATCTTGAGATCGAGTTACAGCAATGTGAATCCTCCTTACTTGTGGTTAATGCAAACATTTAAGAGTGGAGAAGAGTTCAAAGACCAGCTGCTGCGCTATGTTCTAAAGACAAATTATGATGTGAAGTTTTGCAGATGGGAGAAAACAAAACTGAGAGCTTCAGCGGTCAAATGAAAATACCACGACTGAGATTGTGAAAATTCCTTGTGAAGAT